CTCTTTTGGTTATCAAAGCCTTTTGGTGGGTCCTTCTCCCCCTTCCACTTTCCAAAGGATTCCCACAGTGCTCTGACCTTGGCCCATTCCTCTGATTCCTCTCAAAAGGAGAGTGACGTGGCCAATAACGTGGGCTTTATGTAACTTCTGGGCTTTTTAAAAAGAAAAAAGAGGTCTATGTGAAACTCATGTCCCGTCCTCCACCTCCATGTGTTATTGAGGTTTAACACTTGGGCCTAAGGTACTGTAGCATAGAGCTCTATCAAGTTAAAGAAGTAATTGTAATAGGTGGCAGCAGGAGTAAATTGTTATATGGACCAACCGCTAGAGGAGGATGCAGAACACACTAAAACAATGGATTATATATGCTTGAATAACCTCATTGTACAAACTGCGTAGCCAACTATTTAGATTTGGCAAATTCTTTTGGTTAGGTCAAGTGGATGAGACTTGGTTCTGCAATATTAGAGATCTGGGTTCTCTTCCTAGCTTGTGTAACTTTCATTCAGGGAGGATGGATTGTTCAGTGATAACTAGGGTTTTGAAGGGCACAGGGGTGTTAACACCAGTCAGTAGAAATAATGAGAGTTGAACTCATCATCTCCTGGTTCCCAGCATGGTGATCCTTCTCCTAGGCCAGGGATCGGCAACCTTTCAGAAGCGGTGTGCCGAATCTTCATTTATTCACTTTAATTTAAGGTTTCACATGCCAGTAATACATTTTAATGTTTTTTAGAAGGTCTCTCTCTCTCTCTGTAAGTGTATATATTATAGAACTAAAGTATTGTTGTATTGTAAAATAAACAAGGTTTTCAAAATGTTTAAGAAGCTTCATTTAAAATTAAATTAAAATGTTGATCTTACGCCACCAGCCCACTCAGCCTGCTGCTGGTCTGGGGTTCTGTTCACCTAGGCCGGCAGCGGGCTGAGCGGGGCCTGTGGCCGGGACCCCGGCTGCAAGGGTCCAGCAGCCAGATCCCCAGACCGGCAGTGGGCTGTGCAAGTCCAGTGGCCGGGACCCCAGACCGGCACTGGGCTGAGCGGCTCAGCCTGGTGCTGCTCAGTGGTTCCATCCGCCGACTCCTGCCAGCCAGGATCCCGGCTGCGGGACCCACTCAACCCGCTGCTGGTCTGGTGTCCCGGCCCTGCCCACATACAGTGGGTACCTACCTTCTCCCTGGTTCTGGCCCATTCTCTTCCTCTCTCTCTGCACTGAGCTGAGGGTGGGAGTGCACTGAGCACAGGGCTGGGGGTGAAGGGTCTGGGGAGGAGCTAGAATGGCTCAGGGTTGGGGCAGGAGGTTTGGGTGTGGAGCACTTACCTGGGCAACTCCCATTTGGTGTGAGGGGTGCAGGTGGGAATGTGGGGGGGGCGGTGCAGGAGCTCCTGTTTGGTGCTTGGGGGTGTGTGTGCAAGAGTGAGGATGTGGGGGGTGCATGGGGTGGGGGGGCCTGGATATGTGTGGGGGTGCCAGTCAGGGTCTTGGGGGGGGGCTGAAGGAGTCAAGCAGAGGGCTGGATGTGTGTGAGGGGTGTACAGGGCTCAGGGCAGGGGCCTGGGGGGGTGTGCGGGGCTGCAGGGCTCAGGGCAGAGGGCTGGGTGTGTGTGTGTGGTGGGGGGGGTCGTGGGGTACTCACGCAGGGGGCTGGAGGGGATATGCCCCTATTTCCACCCCCCCCCAAGGCCCTGCCCCCGCTTCTTCTCTGCCTCCGCCGGGAGCAGCGAGCACCGTGACTCCACTCCTCCCCGACCCCCTCCCTCACAAGGGCCATCAGCTGATTGGCCGGCAGGGAGGGACGGAGAGGAGGAGGGGCAGGAACCCAGCACACTGTGGGAAGAGGCAGGGGAGCCGGCAGGACCATGCTTCTGCCCCTTGCCCCGGGGGGAGGGGGGGAGGCGGAGAAGATCGGGCCGGGACAGGCAGGATTTTTAATGGCACGGCAGGCAGCAGCATGCCATTAAAAATCGGCTTGAATGCCGTCTTTGGCACGCGTGCCATAGGTTGCCGACCCCTGTCCTAGGCCAAAGCATATTTTGATGTGAGGGATGGAGATGCATAGGTCTGAGTTGCACACGGCAACACATTGCAGAGAATGCTCAGTGAGAACAGCATGTTCCTACCCTCTAGGAAGTTTTGACGAGTAAAACTGAAAGGAAATGACAGATTTTGGCAGTTTGTAAATCATGGTGGCAGCAAGAGACACCACATTGAGCCTTTCACATCCCTGCTGCAAACCACGGAATTGTTAGAGCTCTTAAAAAAAAAAAAAGAGAGAGAGAGAATTTTTAATAAAGGGAAATGGTAGGCAGCTCAATGTAGGGGTTGCTATGGGCTTCCCCTAGACTATCTGAATGGGATCTCAGCAGCAATCTGCAGGGGTAGCCCAGCTGATAGTACAGGGGCTCTCCCTGTGACAACGTGTAAGTGGGATAAGTCTGTCTTCTCACTAAAGATGCAGATTCCTAAACATTAGTTTGGCAAGCTCCTGGCTCTGAGTGGCCAGCTGGTGATGGGAGACTGATGTCATGTTCATAACGGCTTTTTTCCTCTTCTTTTTGCCTTAGACATAATTACCCAGGACGAACCCATAACTGTCCCCCCCAAAGGAGCAGAAGTAGCTGGTACTTCCTCAGGTAAATTGGAAGAACTTGGATTTGCTAAAAGCCTAGAGTTTTGGATTCAAATTTCCACTTGAATAAAAATGAAATGTGCAGTGTGAAGATGATTTTAATTTCTATAATTCTGCTATTCACAGATACGAATATGATGATGCTCACTTAGTGTTTGCCTACAAACTTGACAGAGAGCTCGTTGTTCATTTGCACACTCCATGCTCTCCTGGTTTTCCTGCCTCTCTCATTGTTTCTGCACCATTTCTTTTGGAGGGTCCTT